TGCCTTAAACCTGCTCGGTTTCACCAAGCAGGCTTGCCCGCGTGGCAAGTGGCATTAAAACCAACCAACCAAACAAAAGTTAAAATTCTTAAATATTTTTTCCTTAAGAGAGTAGAGTAGAGAGTTGAAGGGGAAAAAAAAGTTTAAATTCGTGTCTACTTTTTTTTGTTTTTCCAAAATTTTATTTATTCATTTTTTTTTCTCTTTTGGCTTGAAATTATAATGTAATGCCAAAGCTTAGAAGTGATTTTAGTATAAATTTTAATACATTTGTTATAAATAAAATTTAAAAAGATAATTATCAATCACAAAGCATTCTGAAAATAGTAAATCAATAAAAGTACTTTTATACCAGGGTACGTTTCAAGGCTCAAAAGTTTGCCACAAGTTTTGTATTTTTTTTATGCCGCTTTTTTGCAATTATTAGGTATACAATTATTTCTGAGAATGGCTTAAACTATTGGAAAAATTCTAATGTGTTCGTTTTAGAACATGAAAATACATGAGAGCACAGGCAGCCTACTATCTATTACATGTTAAGAAATATAATGGTGGGTACTTAATGGACATAGTTTCAATCAATCGTATAAACAACCAAATCAGTTATTGGAAAGAAGTATTCAAAAGAATTGTAGAAGTAATGAAGTTTTTAGCATCATGAGATCTAGCATTTCGTGGAGAAATCAAGCAAATGGATCATAGCATATAGTGGAAATTATTTGGGGACTTTGGAGCTATTGAGTAAATTTGACCCTTTTCTTTGCTGAACCTATGAAAAATTATCAAAATAAGGGCATTCTATTTATCAGCTTCTATTTGAAATGAATTTATATCAAATATGGGACATGAAGTATTAAATAGTATAATTGCAGAATTGAAGAAAGTTAAAAAAATTTCAATAAGAGTTTATTCAACAACTGACTTTTTCTTCATAGATCAGCTGACATTTATTGTTCGATATGTTAATGATGAAATCCCCGAGGAACATTTTTGGATTTTACTCCAATTGAAAAGCATACAACTGAGTACTTGTCTGATACTATTGTATCTTTTTTTTTTAAAAAAAAAGAGGCATAAATATAAGTTATTATAGAGGACAGACATACGATAACGCACCAAATATAGCAGGCAAGGTAAAAAGAAAATATGCAACTGCAATTTTTTTAATATCTCTAGCCCATAGCTTAAAGTTGCTCAAACAGCGGAATGCGTTTTGGAAGATTATTTCCAATTTTTACAGAAACTAACTCTTTTTCTCCTGTTCTACCCATCGAAGAAATACCTTAACAGACGTGAAGTGCCCATCGACTACTAGGTCATCCGCCCATTTAGACGCAGTAACGACACTTCAAAAAAGTTACGGGAAAATTTAGGACATTCTTAAAACTTTCGAAAAGAACAAAGAAGAGCTTCCAGAAACTTGACTCGATGCTCGTGGTGTTCTAAAGAAACTGAAAAAGTTGGAAAATATTGTGTTGGCAGAATTTCGGGGTGATATATTATCAAGAATAAATCTGACTTTAATATGTATACAAAAGAAAGGCCTTTCTCTCGATGATGGTCTGAATTTAATTGAAACATGAATATTTTGTGAGCGAACACAGAGATAAGTCCTCTGCTTATGAAACCATTTCCAACTAAAATTTATCGAATTGAGGATAAGACGATACGAACTTTACAGTGAAGTTTTCGTTTGACATTTGAGGATCAAGGTGCAGAAGATGTTGTATTACGAGGTAGTGAAAGATTTGAAGTTGAAATTTATCTTCCAGTATTACAGTACATTGATTAGTCAATTAAAATCTCGTTCAACGACGTGCAAATAAATAAGAGATTTGTTAGGATTTGTTTTAAAGTAGAATTTTTTGAAGTCCAGGGAATTAATGCTTCTCTGTAATAGTTTTAGACGATTTTATCCCAATGATGTGAATGAAAAAGCACTAGTAGTAGAACATTTCGAGCATTATTTAAAGAAAAAGTTAGGCATGGATGAGATGTATAAAATAGTACAAAACAACAATCTCGAAGGCACATTTCCAAAACAACAATCTAGAAGACACATTTCACTTCGAATTTTTTTTGTCACTCATTACAATTAAATGTAGTGGTGGACGTTTATTCTTCAAACTAAAATTAATCAAAAACATGCTAAGAAATTGTTTGATTTAAGAAAGTTGAGTCATTAGTCAATCATGACCATTGAATATGATGTCTCGCAGGAAATTGATTTTAAATGATTTGATAGGAGACTTTGTCTCTCAAAAAGAGTTGAAAATTATTGTTACCTTAAATTTTCTATATAAATAATGTATTACAGCTTTAGAAATAATGTATTTGTTTTCCATCGTTAAAATAATAACTTTTTTAAAAAATAACTCAAAACTAAAAAAAAATTTTCTTTAAAATTACTTATAAAGAGCTCCCAAATAACGACAGGCCCAGTGCTCCTCAAAATGTGAAAAGGACTCTGGATCAGCCCCTGAGGTAAATCCCAATCCTTCGTTTGTCTTTAAGCTATCGCAGCTCCATCTAGTGGCTAAAAAACTTTAAAAAAATAATAACTAACCAGTGGTTGGAAAAACTACATTACTTTTGTAGTTTACTACATTTACAACTGCTTTGTTACCAATGTAGTTAGCTACAAATAGAAATTTTTTTTAATGTAGTGACAGCAAACTACTTTGAAATTGCAATGACTGCTTTACTAATTTAACGAACCTAACTTTGCTGGCGAAATTAATCTACACCTGTATAACTTACACTTCTGGAGAAATTAATTTACACATTATGTCCAAAACGGTTTTGAATAAATAATCGGTTTATATTAAACATGAAGAATTATTTAGAAATATGCATTCATCTTTACATGAGCCATTTTCTTATTGTAAATATTGTTTTTAGAATTTGTTTATTTAGTCTTCAACTTTTTATGCCCTTCTTGACTGAGAATAATTAATTTAGGAGATGTTAGAAAATTATCAAATAATCGCAATTTCGTTAAGTGTTAAATGCTCTTTTATTTCCTCTAAGAAATTGAGTACATCGAAAATATGTTTAATTCCTTTGAAATAGCATCACTGTATTACGAGTGTACATTCGCATGAGAAAATGTGACCGAAGTGATAAATTATCTATAATTCATAATGGCTAGCTTAAATATTAGTTATACGTGACTCTAAATACGCAATTCTTATTAATTAACAGTCACAGGAGAATTTAAAACTGCGTCCTTTGATAGACCCGCGATGATTTGTATCCATGAAATCGAAAAATTAGTTGAGTTAGAATCCTATTCATATACTAAACTAAGTCAAAAAGTGGTTGCCAGGAACTACAATTTTTTTCTATCGCACTAGTCTACTAGTCTACTTAAAGAAAAAAAAATGCAACACGCTGCACTACAAACTACGAAAAAAAAATAGCGACTTCAGTAGTTTCACTACTAGTAATTCTATAACTAATTGACTACTTCCGACCACTGAAATTAACTAAAGTAAAATATTTGAAAATCTAAGATATTTAAGCTGCTTGAAAAAGCGATAATGATCATGTTTTTCTCACATTTAAAACTGAAAACATAAGGAGTATTAGTAAACATCAACCAAAAAAAAAGAAGAAAAAAAAAGAAAGAAACTTAAACGTGTTACTGTTATTAACACTAGAAAGACGGAAGATTAGTATATAATACATATTGCCAAAAAGCAGTCAAAATGACTAGATTGTGAACGCGTAAATATATTTGTTTAGAATTAATTTTTAAAATTTTTTATATTATTTACAGTTATGTAACAAGCTGTTAGTAAATATTAACAATAAAAAAAAATTATATGTTGTACAAAAAGTCACGAAATTCTAAGAAATTGTGTCATTATATACATCATTGTTTTTCTAACTGAAATTAAAAGCAGTCAAAATGACTTCCTTAGGCAATCTAGTGTNTGCAAATAAAGGGGTATGGAGCCAATCGGAGTACAGCGCTGCGATTGGAAACGCGTATATAAGACAACGAGTGTCTAGCACAGTTCTTAGATCGGTTACTGCTGCTACAATGCCAGGTTATACAGATTTAAGTGAGTTTGAAAGTGGTGTTATAGTCGGCGCATGGGAGATGGGACATAGCATCTCCGAGATAGCAATGAAATTTGGATTTTCACTTACGACCATTTCACGAGTATACCGTGGGTATCGCAAATCCGGTAAAACATCAAATCTACGACATCGCTGAGGTCGGAAAAAGATCATGCAAGAACGAGATCAACGACGATTGACGAGAATCATTAAGCGTGACAGACGTGCAACCCTTCCAAAAATTGCAGCAGATTTCAATGCTGGGCCATCAACAAGTGTCAGCGTGCTAACCATTCAACGAAACATCATCGATATGGGCTTTCGGAGTCGAAGGACCACACGTTATTTGGCAGGTTTTTGGCTCTTCAGTGTATAACTAACTGAAATTAACTGAAGTAAAATATTTTAAAATTTAAGATATTTAAGTTACTTGAAAAAGCGATAATGATTATGTTTTTGTCACATTTAAAACTGAAAACATAAGGAGTATTAGTAAACATCAACCAAAAAAAAAAAAAAAAAAAGGAGGAAAAAGAAAAAGAAAGAAACTTTAGCGTGTTACTGTTATTAACACTGGAAAAACGGAAAATTAGTATATACCTATATTGCCTAAAGGCAGTCAAAATGACTAGATTGTGAATGCGTAAATAAATTTGTTTTCAAATTATTTGCAGTTAATAAGCTATTAGTAAATATTAACTATAAAAAAATTATATGTTGTACAAAAAGTCACAAAATTCTAAGAAGTTGTGTCATTATATACATTTTTCTAATTGAAATTAAAAGCAGTCGAAATGACTTCCTCAGGCAATCTAGTGCTTACATACAAATAGCTGATTAAACATTGATTAACAAACAGCTTTTCAGGAACACTATCAATTTACTAAAAGGATTCAATTATCTAATTGATACACTCTGCTAGAATTATTAGTTTTATTTTATTTATTTAAAAAAATGTTTATTAGTTTTTGCGAAGAGAGTGTCCAACTGCAGTAGTTCCTGTTCTACTTCGAGCACTTTTAATTATACACACCCTGTACTGGAACTGCTTCACACGTCACAGCAGGAACATGTTTAGCCCAAATTTGATTGGTAAAATGCGTGAATCAACACAGTTTTGTCACTCATAATCACAGATTGATATACTTAACCGATATTTTTGGATATTTTTGTAAAGCAAAAATTGTCACATTGATAAGGTAGCATCAGGACTCTGAAATGAAATCGTTATGCTTATAATCACAAGTCTAATTGATGCTGTTTTGCTAAGAGAGTTGAATTCTTTTTTTTAAAGAAAGCATAATAGTTTATCCATTTTTTGAGGATAATCACTGAACAATTGAGATTTTGCCACTTGAATGAAGTTTGGCACATTATCAGTTTGACGAGAATAACGTCAGAACAAATTAATTTTTGGCACTGATAATCACAAGTCCGTCTGATTGATAAGCCCTGAGCAGATTTGTGGATAACGGAAGATAAATATTACACATTATCATTTTGATGCGGATTGTGTCAAGATAAATTAATTGTAATCTCTTATATCCTTAGGCCAATATCCTTAGGCCAATACACTAGATCGTTTTGAAAGAAGCTTGGCACATAATTATTCTGATGAGGATAGAAATGAAACAAATGAATATTTGATACTGATTATCACAGGCTGATCCAGTACTTTATGGGAGTTGTTGGATATTTGGTACGAAGTTTGGCACATTATTACTTTGAGGAGAATAATGTCCATGCAAATGATGGTACATGTAATAGTTATAGTTTTGCGTTAGGGCAACGGTTGCTTCTGGAGTTGGGAAGGGTTGCATGGAGAGTGTTGAAGTAGATTGATATTGTCCTAAAAAATTTGAGACAGAATGAACTGACGTCCATGGTTTGAGAGTTGCTGAGGAATTTTCTTTGTTCAGAAGTGCTCGCTGCGGTGGTTGAACACCCGCACATGAAAATGGATATAAGCCATTGCACATACGTCCAGTTTTCTCCTTAGAATTGTCGGAGCAAATTTTATGCCTTAAAATCCTACTAATGCTGCTGACACTTGGCACATTGTATTTATCGCATACTTTGTCTGTTAACAGTTTGTCCCTGATCTCCCAGGCGAAGATACCGGGATCTTTTTGTTTCAAGTGCCGTATGTACGATACTACTTTTGGTGTTGTCACTCGTGGTTTGCTACCGCCGATGGCACCTGGAAGTATAGAGCCAGTCTCTTGATACCGTGCCAGAATTTTTGATACACATCCGTGTGATACTTTGAGCTGTCGTGATATGTCACACGGGCGAACTCCAAGTTGAGCCAATTCAACAATTTTTAGGCGAACTGTGTTTGGGAGTGGCCTTCCGTTCACAAAATGTCCGCCGAGCTGATTGACTTCGCCATAATCCTGCGCATCTGTGAAAGAAAAAGAAGAGAAAATTTATAGGAAGTTTGTTCAAAATACGTAGTAAAAGTCACGTTTATTTTGCGGAAAAATACTTTTTATTGCCTACTTTGGCAACACTAGCTTTCATCATTAACATTTGACCTTTCCCTTGTGATTATTTTTGGCAGTTTTACATTGAGATACATTTGAATAAGGTGTGCTTTCAATGACTGTTTATTCAGTTTATCTTATCTAGTAGAATTATGCCAGATGGATAATTTTTTTCAGATACATCTAAGTTTCAAATGTATTTCTCACCATGCATTCTCTAAACGTGTTTTATAACTGTCGTTGAACAACCGACCCAATTTTGAGTTTGCGGCTACATATGTTCAATGCTGTAGTCTTGTAATTTTGAACCCGATCCAGAAGACAAGGGAACTCCTGGATCAAGTATCGGGAGAATTTCGTCGTTGTGGAGGAATTTTTGATGGAATTAACCCGCAATTACGTTACATGGAGAGGAAAAATACGAAAACCTCCCTCGATTGTCTTGACGGAAAGGGGACTCTAACTCATAATCCGTCTACCACTGAGGATATTTTACGTCAGTACAGTGGTCGGTGCTATCGGGTGAGGAATTCGCATCGACCAGCCATAGCTGAGATTCGAACCCGGTTCACCTCATTATGAGGCGAACTCTCTATCCCCTGAGCCATCGCGATGCAATATTCATGTCGAATAGGTAGTTGTGAAACTATGTTTTTAGAATCGTCCCTAATAAGGGACGCCTCTTGAGAAAATCGAATGCCCTCTCTTACACTATTCCTCATTAAAAGATAAAAATCTTGTATAATTAGAAACTAAATAAGAAAGAAAGGGAAGGGGGTTATGTTCTGTAAAAAGGGCCAACCAAAGAAATTGGTTTGAATGTAATGGAACTTCCACTTAAGTGATCCACACTTAAATAATTTAACAATTATTTATTTTGACTGCAATTTTCTTTCCTTTTTGATTGTTCGCAAGAACTGTTTTATTTTCAGTTTAAAAACTCTATTTGATACAGGGTTTTAAGTAGGGGATAAAAAATTGCTTAAAAAGGAAAATTTTCATTTATGGGTATTGTATTGTATTATGTATAACTTGAGTAGTATTGAGTACTTTTACACGCGTTTTTCACGCGTAATTTTTATCAAGGTGTACATATAAATGGATTTGTTTATAACCTTCTTTAAACGTCATCTTTGTTAATTTCAGTTATAAAATTGCCGCATAAAATATGAATATGACTTTTTATAAGACGGTAATAATTACGAAATAAAATAACAGGAGTGTGAAAGAAAGTAATTTTTTTAAGCTTTAAGCATTTAATTTTAATAATTAATGAAAATAAAAAGAATAAAAAATATCAGACGAGCAAAGTTGTAAAATATCAATAAGTTAAATAAATTAAATATTTCGGTGATAGACATCGTGATGAAACTTATTAATTAGATACCATGAGAAGAAAGATACTAGATACTGTGATGTTATAGACAACTTCAGACAAATGCTTTTAATTTTAATTTATTTGTTTAAGATGATGCCGCGCTATTTTTTTATTCAATAAAAATTATTAAAAAGAGGGTCAGTGTTATAAGTTATTTTTCTTACAAAAAGTTCTTACTGCATTAGAAATAATAAAATTCAATAAAGAAACTTTGAAATGATATTTTTTTTTAATAAAGAGGTAGAAGGTTAAAAAGATCTGCATTTTCAAGTTTCGTGTCCTTTCATCTGTTTGTCTAACTTGTCTTCTTAAATTTAAGAAAAAAAAGTTTCATTATTTTCAATATAACCAATATGATTTATCTCTCTTTGTTTATCATATTCTTTTCTTAATTATTTTTTATAATATCTCTAATTCAGTGACACTGTCAAACTACTAAAACTCTTTTTACCAATTATCATTAATTAAAAGAACTTTTTAAAGATTAGTAATTTTATCCTATATGTCGAGTCTGCTACGATAAAAGACTGGGCACTATGTATTTTGTCAAAGTCAACAAGTTTCGTCGATGTTTTTTTTAGACATATTTCAAACAGTGTGTTTTAGAAAATGGGCATAGTTCAAAAAACATATTAAAGAAAATAGAGATTGCCGCGAACTGCATCGTTAAGAAAAATGAACTCAGCTGAAAATGCGTATTTAAGAAAACGGACCCAGTTAAAAAAGCGTATTTATGAAAATGAACATGACTCAAAACGCGTATTTAAAACAATGGACAAAACGCACCTTTTCGATGTTTTAATAAAAAATTTAACGAATGAGCCAGGGATTTCGTCTACATATATGCAACCACTTTTATGAATTTATAAGACATGGAACAAATCTTTAGAAAGAGCCGTTAATCTTTAAAATCTTTTGCATTACATAGTGCATTTATTCGGATTATTTAGTTAATTAAAAGAAAATATTCACAAATTGTAGTTAAGAAAACAGAATTCAACGATACTCCCATTTTCTTAAATACCCATCTAGCATGATATGTAAATTAAATGTAAATTTTATCGTAATCGGTAAAGTCAATAAGTTTCATGCGTAAATTTTACGTAACATTGATGGAATGATATTACTATTAAGATATTTGGTAAAAAAAAAAAATTGGTATATTTTACGTAGTATTAACGGAATGGATTTTACCAACTACCCTTTGGTAAGATTGATTTCGCTTATTTTACGAAAGATTGACGAAAGAATATTTATTATTTAGATTTAGTAAAAAAGATTCTGTGCATTTCACGTATTATTAACAAAGCAAATTTACCATTTAAATTTCGGTTCGAATTTATTTCCTCAAATTTTCGGTTTTTTGTACAACCATTTTTTTACACCATAATTTGACGTTTTACAAATGTTACGTACATTTTGACGTAAATAATGTGTAAAAATAAACTACTCATTCTTACTTAGTGAAAAGTAGTTGGTAAAATACTCGTAAAAGGAACGAATTTGTTCATGTGAAATTTTACGTAAATTTTTCGTTTTTTTGGGTAATCATTTTTTGCTATAATTCGACGTTTGCACTTACGTTACTTTTGACGCATTGTTGACGTAGTACGTAAAAATAGCGCAATCACTCTTAACTAGTAAAAAGTGGTTGATAAAGTATTCGTAAAAGAAACGAATTTATTTACGTTTTTTGGATAGCTATAATTCGACGTTTTAGTTTTACGCAAATGTTGCGAATGCTTAGTAAAATTCAATGTTGAAATATACGTATATTTGACGTAAAATTGATAATTAAGTGCTATTACTATTTATTACTTTATTGCTATTTATTAAATGTTATTGTTGAAGTAAACTAAAAAATATTTTATAAATAAAAAGTATTTTTATTTTAACTTATAGTATTATTTTTTCTAGCTAGAGAGCCCTCAAACCTCATGCGCTCCCCTCCACGCACCGGGATTATTGAAAGTGGTGTTATTTACACCAACTGTTTACATCAAAAATCACAATGATTGTCTTATATAAAATCTTAGACGATTATATATTTAAGAAACCTTGGCCCAAAACCGAAAAATTCATATCTTTTTAGTATTAAGGATATTATTTGGGGTATAATTTCTGAGTGTTAAAAATTGGCAAAAATAAAACTGTAACAAAGAAAGAAAAATCTACAAAAGAGTTGTTTAATTGATAACGCGATAAAGAATTCATACTAAAAATAATGCTGTGGAATTTTTAACTTCTAATATCGAGAAAGCCCGCCTCATAATCGAGAGAGTTCGTTTCATAATGAGGTGACCCAAGTTAGAATCCCAGCGATGGCTTGTTGATACTAATTCTGTTCCCGGTTCGCACCAACCACAATGCTGACGTAAAATATCCTCAGTGTTAGATGGATCATAGGTTACATCAGACTAGTCCGAGGCTTTCGTGGTTTCTCTCTCTATGCAACGCAGCCAAAAGCTAATTTATCAAAATGCTTGATGCAGGAGTTCTCTTATCTTCAAGGAGGGGTTCAAAATTACAAGGCTACTGAGTTGAACATTCGTTGTCATAAACTCTGAATTCAGGTGTTCAACGCTGGCAATAAAATAACAACGATGATCTCAAATCGCACTTGGTAGAGTTTTTTGCTCATAAGGACCGGAAGTTCTATGAACGCGGAATCATGAAGATGGTAAAGGTTATTGAAGTTTATTTTTGTATAGAAAACATTTAGTTTTACTGCACACTAGAGAACCTAAATTACTTTCTTACCAACCCAATATTTATATAATAAATTGAAGAAGTAAATTCTAACAAATATATTTTTAAAAAAATATTGCAACCATTATTGTAAAATAGGAAAATATCATTATAGGAAAAAAGCTTATATGTAATCATTTTATTACATAAGATGTCTTAGTGCTAACCTGGGAATTTGTAAACTGTTACACTAAATTAATTTTTTTAATTAACTTTTCAGTTTAGCTCAATAAATTTCGCTTTGGAATTCATAAATCAAAACATACTTCAATACTCGTCTGCCTTAAGTGAATAATTTATAATTTATGTATATTATTTTAAGCATGAACGTTTTTTCATAATAGAATTACTAAATATTCGCAAATATACGTGCTATATTTGTTATGTTATATTATCTTTATCAGGAAATATATGTGAATTTGAATGTATTTTTTTACAGCGGTAGTCAGAACACTCTTTTCCGAGACATCTATAGTTTGTCTATAAAAGACCTCCCATCGTCACGAAGGCCGTTTGCTGTTATGGAAACAAGAAATAACGCATTTCAAAGAGGGGAGTTTTTTTCTCTCCCCTGATTCCCTTTTCTCTCACCGACCCGAGCCAAATCCTGTCTTAAATAATGACCCAACACCCCTACTTGAAATGGTTAAACCTCGTATCCATAGTTACCGCCACTGCTCCAGACGAATGGCTAGAGGAGTTCTTTACATTGACAAACTATAATCAAGGCATCCACACGACTCTGCACTACAAATCCTATTCCTCATCACAGATAATAATGTCGATAAACAA